GTTTATATTGGAGTGCGCGTGGCACCTGCTAGGTCTGCCTCGTGACCTCCTCCTCCCTGTGGGCGTTCGACACTTGGCCCGGCCTCAACGTGCACGTGGCCTGGCACAAGCGCCGTAGTGACGTCACCGCCACTTAGTGGTGTGTGTGTTGTTGTGTGTGGGGGAGTGTACGCGCGTGTGTGTGTGTGTGTCGGTGAGTGTACGCGTGTGTGTGTGTGGGTGAGTGTACGCGTGTGTACAACGAGGTGGTGACAGTCGGTGGCGTTAACGAGACAATCGGATTGATGGGGGGGGTGGGGGTGGAGCGTAGGGGGAGAGAGCGATCGCCTTCGATGTCAGCCGTGAGCCCCGAGTGGACGTTCTCGCTCGTCACGGCAGGGCCTGCTCACTTGAGGCAGGACCACCGCTGACGTCCCACAGCACGAGACGGATGTCATTGACCCCTCGAGCCACTGGCTGAGTCATGCCCCCAACCAGGATGTCAATATGCAACCTTCTTGATTGCAAGTCAGGTGCTTTAGCCACTGACCCAACGAGAGACAAGCCGTTACAATCACAAAGGGCGATCGGAAACGCAGTGACGGATATGCAAAACGTTGAGTTTCAGTCGCCCGTCGTCTCCCCTGCGGCGCTCCGCGTCCCCCAGGCGGGGACGGCGCTGTCCGGCGGGGCCACGTTGACCCTTGGGAGCGCGACGCCGTCCAAGATGGGCGCCACCTTGCCGCCCTCCGTGCCGGGCCTGGGGAGGTCGCGACCCGTCAAGGTCGCTGTGGGAGGTCACCGGGGCGGTGAGAGGCCGACGACGATGAGTCTCTCTCTCTCTCTCATAGCACCAGCAGAGACTCCACTCCCTCTCCACTCTCTCTCTCATAGCACCAGCAGAGACTCCACTCTCTCTCTCATAGCACCAGCAGAGACTCCACTCTCTCTCCACTCTCTCATAGCACCAGCAGAGACTCCACTCTCTCTCTCTCATAGCACCAGCAGAGACTCCACTCTCTCTCTCTCATAGCACCAGCAGAGACTCCACTCTCTCTCTCTCATAGCACCAGCAGAGACTCCACTCTCTCTCTCTCATAGCACCAGCAGAGGCTCCACTCTCTCCCCACTCTCTCTCTTCATAGCACCAGCAGAGACTCCACTCTCTCTCCACTCTCTCCCACTCTCTCCACACTCTCTCTCTCATAGCACCAGCAGAGGCTCCACTCTCTCCCCACTCTCTCTCTCTCATAGCACCAGCAGAGACTCCACTCTCTCTCCACTCTCTCCCCACTCTCTCCACACTCTCTCTCTCTCTCATAGCACCAGCAGAGACTCCGCTCTCTCTCCGCTCTCTCTCCGTGCTCTCTCCCCGCTCTCTCCCGCTCTCTCTCCGCTCTCCACGTTGTCTCCTCTCTCCCCGCTCTCTCTCCGCTCTCCACGTTGTCTCCTCTCTCCCCGCTCTCTCTCCGCTCTCCACGTTGTCTCCTCTCTCCCCGTTCTCTCCCCGCTCTCTCTCCGCTCTCCACGTTGTCTCCTCTCTCTCCGCTCTCTCTCCGCTCTCTCTCATAGCACTAGCAGAGACTCCACTCTCTCCCCGCTCTCTCTCCGCTCTCTCTCCGTGCTCTTCGTCCACACCGTCTCTCTCTCTTTGTTGTTCCCACTCGCAGGAGGAGCGCAGGAAGCAGACGCATCGGGACGTGGGCTGCCGTGGCTCATCATCATCCTCAACCTCCTCCTCGTTGTCGTCCCCCCCTCTTCCTCGTCTTCTGCGTTTGGGCGCTTCGTCACGTTTGCTCGAGAGAGCCGCAAGAGGTCGCGGTCGTGGCCAGCGAGCGAAGACGCTGACCGCACGGCGGCGGTGCGGCAGCAGCAGCAGCACAGATCCCAGTGAGCGCCCACCGGCCGCTGGGCGCGACGTGCGATCACTGACGAGGTGGTGGTGGTAGTGGGGTGATGGTGGTGGTGGTGATGGTGGTGGTGGTGATGGTGGTGGTGGTGATGGTGGTGATGGTGGCAGTGGTTGTGGTGGTGGCGGCGGCGGTGGTGGTGGTTGTAGTGGTTGTTGTTGTGGTGGTTGTGGTGGTGGTTGTGGCGGTGGTTGTGGTGGTGGTTGTGGTGGTGGTGGTTGTGGTGGTGATGGTGGTTGTGGTGGTGGCGGTGGTGATGGTGGTGGCGGTGGTGATGGTGGTGGTGGTGGTGGTGGTTATGATGGTGGTGGTGGTTGTGGTAGTGGTGGTTATGATGGTGGTGGTGGCGGTGGCGGTGGTTGTGGTGGTGGTTGTGGCGGTGGTTATGATGGTGGTGGTTATGATGTGCGTTGCATTAGCACTGCACTGAGATTGACGTCCCACAGTGGTCTATAGTAAAGGCTGTCACGAGTTCAATCTGCCTCGTGATTTACAATGCCATTTACGTATGCACTTTTAAAACATTAGATTGACAACTCACTTGTTTAGAAGTGAGTTTTGTGTTTAGTTTGGTGTCGTTCCCTCTCACCGCTGCGAAACAAGTTCAACACGCTGCACACGATGTACACATCTTTAGCAGGCCACTGGAACCGGCTTGTCTCTCTCATTACCTCTCGCTGTGCTGTATCCGTTCATGTCTGCCTCTCTCTCTGTCAGCATGCTTGGCCATACATCTGCAGTGGGCAGAACGGAGAGCGAGACTTCTTTAGAGGCAACACGTTTATTATAACAACGTGACCCTAACACGAAGGGATAACGGCCCCTTCCACTCGATACTCGACGTAGGTCACGGCTTTGGGTCTTCAAGTACTACACGACAACAGCCAGCCGGACACGCTCAGGGCTCCTCCGGCTTGTATAGTCAGTCCCGGCTCTGGAGCAGACCGGTGGACACGGCAGCCAAAGGAGAGAATTCCACCCCGCGAAGACGTCCAAGAGAGAGATGGAGCGATTAGCTCGGCTCGTGTGCAGGCGATGGATTCTGACGACATCCTAGGACTGAGAGTGGGGGTTGGGACTTCATACAGCAGTGGGTAGACAATTGCTGGTCACGTGGCGATGTACTACGTGAGCTTGCATTGTTTGCAATAACCCGTAGATTCACAGGGAGGCATTCTTCCAGACACGACCGACAAAACGATTGTTTAATTGTCAAGGGCTGGAACATCTTGCCAAGAGCTGGAACATCTTGCCAAGAGCTGGAACATCTTGTCAAGAGCTGGAACATCTTGTCAAGAGCTGGAACATCTTGTCAAGAGCTGGAACATCTTGTCAAGAGCTGGAACATCTTGTCAAGCGCTGGAACATCTTGCCAAGAGCTGGAACATCTTGTCAAGAGCTGGAACATCTTGTCAAGAGCTGGAACATCTTGTCAAGCGCTGGAACATCTTGCCAAGAGCTGGAACATCTTGTCAAGAGCTGGAACATCTTGCCAAGAGCTGGAACATCTTGTCAAGAGCTGGAACATCTTGTCAAGAGCTGGAACATCTTGCCAAGAGCTGGAACATCTTGTCAAGAGCTGGAACATCTTGTCAAGAGCTGGAACATCTTGTCAAGAGCTGGAACATCTTGCCAAGAGCTGGAACATCTTGCCAAGAGCTGGAACATCTTGTCAAGAGCTGGAACATCTTGCCAAGAGCTGGAACATCTTGTCAAGAGCTGGAACATCTTGACGACGATGGAGATGGCCGAGTATCCCAGTGTAGGACGACAGAGCTTGGGCGATCGTCTGCGGCTTTTTGCCCCCTCCCTGTCGCCCTCGGAGAGGGGGGCGAGCGAAAATTGCGCGCCTTTATAAACCTACGTGTACGCGATGTTCACGCTTGTGTGTAAGCTGTCAATGAACGTGCACACACACGAGAGAACAAAACAATATTGACAGAAACTTGAACAGGCCGCCGCCTGCGATTAACCAAGTGCATTGACACCATTGGAACCTCATTTGCCAGTAAAAAATATGATAATTGGTTTTTTACCCTTCTATCTGGCAACAAAACTGACACCTTTTTTACAAGGAGTCATGTTTGTATAGACCACAATACCTGCAGTCATAATGCAAACAAAAAACACAACTCTGATAATGTATGCACTGTCCTTGAAGTTGAGTGACCTGCGCCTTTTGGCGTCATCTGGACCAACCCATGTGAGACTAGGCTCTAAGGAAAGCTGTCTCGGGTGTGGACATCTGCTCCTGTGGTTCTGTGGGGGTGGGCGGGGTTGGCGATCTCCAACGGGGCAGGATTCCTCCCCCCCCCCCCCCACGAGGATACAGACGGCGACAAACGGAGACAAAAACGCGCTCCGATTAAGGTGCGAACGGGCCGTGTTAGTGAAATGGCAAAAGCCTAAAAACGTACAAACTGCAGCAAGTATCCGGAACAGCAAATATGAACGGCCAAATGTCCCAAGCATGAACGTCAAACGACAAAAGCCACTTCCAGAGCGAGGCGGCTTCAGTGTGCGGCGACTTGACCGAGCACATCGCGTGCGTCAACGGGGAGTGCTGGAGGTCAGCGGCCCGGCGGCGGACCCAAGTTTCACTCGCGACCGTGGCCAACATCAGCGGCAGATGATATCGGTCCTGGGCCTCCCCTAGGTCGACTCGGCCTTAAAACGAGTTACCTGGTGCGTGGCCGGGCGTGCAGATCGTCACGCCAGCCCCCCCCCCCCCCATAGCTGCCCCCCTACCATCCTGGACAGGCGCTTGCCAACAGCACAGCCAGTTAACGACTACGGGGGGTTGGTGGGGGGTGGTGGGGGGGTGGAGTCACTGCACACCGCCCCACAACGCCGGTGACACAGGTTCAATTCAGACCATGGCCGCCACCGTTTCACTGATTAGCATCCGAACCTGGCATGGATCACAACCCCCCCCAACCCGCCCCACCACCTCCCACCCACCCCCCACCCACCCCCACCCACCCGCCCCCACCCACTCAACCACCTCACCCCCACCCACCCGCCCCCCACCCACCCCCCACCCACCCTGCCCACCCGCCCCCCCACCACCCACCCACCCCCCACTCACCCACCCCCGCCACCCCACCCCCCCTAATCACACTGCAGGTCGTTGAGTCGCACGTCGAGGTCGGCGGCGGCCATCTTGCCTGCGGCCATCTTGCCTGCGGACACGCTGAACGAGCCGCCTGTGGCCGGCAGAGCTGCGGGGGGTGGGGGGGCGGGGTGGGGGTGGGTGGGGGGAGACACACGGAGAGAAAACAGCGACGGTCAAGCGCACGCACACGGAACACCGCCACTCGCACAAAGACAAAGGTCCCCGTGCAGCCTTCACTAATTGGAGGGGCGAGTGCCGTCAGCGAGCGGCACCTACGAAGGCCGCCGGCGCCGTGGCGCACGAGGGGGGGTGCGGGTGGCAAGCACCACCACACCCGGCCGCCTTTGTCTCTCCCCCAGTGCTAGCGATGTTCACTACACACCGCACCGGGTACTCGTTTGAGACCGAGTCGACCTAGGGGAGGGCCCAGGACCGGTTCAGATCATCGTCACCGGTGTTGGCCGTGGCGCTGACCGCTGCACTCCCGCAGACACAGAGAAGACCGCCAGCCACGCGGCGCAGCTGTGGAGGCGGCAGCGAGGGCTGGTGGCTCGCCGGGAGCAAGCGGTGCAGGCAAGCGCGCACTGAACGCCACCCGTTGCATCTGCATGGGATAGAGTGTTGCCCCCTCGCACGCGTTGGGCATTCTCTGGGTGATTCAGTTTCCTCCCACGTGTATTAACGGTCGTTAGTTTACTGAAATTTGCTTAATAAATCAAGGGCTGCAGAACCCAGGCAATTGTTGGTAGCACCGTCTCCTGGCTGCTGCTGCCTTCCCCCACTACTCGTCCACGCTGCCTCCTCGTGCTCTCTCCGTTCGACGGCGATGAGCGAAATGCCGGTGGGGAGGAAGGCAACGGCAGTGGCACAGCGGCACAAGTTGAAATTACAAATAACAACAATAATCGTAATAAGAGACCCGAGAAAAGCCAGAACAGCTCCCATGCTGTAAACACGCGTCGAGGCTTCGGCGACATCGGCGACGCGCGCGAGTCGTGCCGCGTCTACGAGCGGCCACTTTGCCCGTGGACGCACCGCGCCAAACCCTATCAAACGACGTAATTGTCTCCGCTTTTCTGATCCGACAACTCGCCGTTCTTCACGCTCCGCACGGCTCGGGGTCCGGCGGTCGTGCGCTCGCTGCAGAGGTTCGTATCTGGCGGGGCCACCCTAGTAATTACTGCGGTGTGTGTTATCACTCGGCGGGATGTCTGGGTGGGTGGCTGGGTGGATGTCTGGGTGGGTGGCTGGGTGGATGTCTGGGTGGGTGGCTGCGTGGATGTCTGGGTGGGTGGCTGGGTGGCTGGGTGGGTGGCTGGGTGGGTGGGTGGCTGGGTGGATGTCTGGGTTGATGTCTGGATGGGTGGCTGCGTGGATGTCTGGATGGGTGGCTGGGTGGGTGGGTGGCTGGGTGGGTGGGTGGCTGGGTGGCTGAGTGGCTGGGTGGGTGGCTGGGTGGGTGGGTGGCTGGGTGGGTGGGTGGCTGAGTGGGTGGCTGAGTGGGTGGCTGGGTGGGTGGCTGGGTGGGTGGCTGAGTGGGTGGCTGGGTGGGTGGCTGAGTGGGTGGCTGGGTGGGTGGGTGGCTGAGTGGGTGGTTGGGTGGGTGGCTGGGTGGGTGGCTGGGTGGCTGGGTGAGTGGGTGGCTGGGTGGCTGAGTGGGTGGCTGGGTGGGTGGCTGAGTGGGTGGCTGGGTGGGTGGCTGGGTGGGTGGCTGAGTGGGTGGCTGAGTGGGTGGCTGGGTGGGTGGCTGGGTGAGTGGGTGGCTGGGTGAGTGGGTGGCTGAGTGGGTGGCTGGGTGGGTGGCTGAGTGGGTGGCTGGTGGGTGGCTGGGTGGGTGGCTGAGTGGGTGGCTGAGTGGGTGGCTGAGTGGGTGGCTGAGTGGGTGGCTGGGTGGGTGGCTGGGTGAGTGGGTGGCTGGGTGAGTGGGTGGCTGAGTGGGTGGCTGGGTGAGTGGGTGGCTGGGTGGGTGGCTGGGTGGGTGGCTGGGTGAGTCGCGAAATGAAGAAACTCACTCGAGAGTTTGTCCGCGAGGCCGAGTCCCAGCTCGTCCAGCACCTGGCTCACGATGGCATCACTGCACACGCGCACACACACAGACACACAGACACACACAGACACACAGACACACAGACACACACACCCAGACACACACACACACACACACACACACACAGACACACATGCACACACACACAGACACACACACAGACACACACACACACAGACACACATGCACACACACAGACACACACACACAGACACACAGACACACACAGACACATGCACACACACACACAGACACACACGCACACAGACACACACACAGATACACACACACAGACACACAGACACACACAAAGACAAAGACACACACACACGCACACAGACAGACATACGCACACACACACGTGCACACGCACGCACACGCGCACACACGCACACACACACGCGCGCACACGCACGCACACACACACACAAGGACACACACACAGACACACACACAGACATACACACACAGACACACACACACAGACACGCACACACACGCACACACACGCACACGCACACACGCACACACACAAGGACACACACACACACACACGAAGCCAATGGTCAAACATCGCGCGACCCCCTCCCCACCACCACCTGTGTAGCATTCACCAGCCTGCTGGGGCAAGTGCTATTGGCGAGTAACACCGCTGACAGACGGGCTGGGTGGGTGGCTGGGTGGGTGGCACTACGCCCGGCCACCTTTGCCTCCCCGGCGGCGATGTGTTTGTGACGCACCGCATCGGGTAATCATTTAAGGCTGAGTCGATCTAGCGGAGGCCCAGGATCGCTTCTCATATCCACCACTGTTATAGGTCGCACGCAGGAATTGAATTCGGATCTCCGGGTTCGTAGCGCAGTCCGCTAACCACGTTACACTGCTCCCCACGGCGCCGCACGGACAGGCACACAGACACACGCGGAGACAGACACACACACAAACGTACACACACACGTACACAACAACAACCGCCATTCGCCACTAAGTGGCGGTGACATCACCACGACGCTTGTGCCAGGCCATGTGCACCTTGAGGCCACGTGAAGTGTCGAACGCCCGCTGGCAGGTCACGGGGCAGACCCAGCAGGTGCCACGGGTCGACACACACACACTGTCTTGCCTCACGGCAGATGTGGAGCGTACGTGCACAGGAAGTTCCTGTTTTTTATGCTAATTTTGGTCACGTGACCAGGAAGTCAGGATGTTAGATTTACAGTGAACCACGCGGGCTTCAGCCATCTTACTAATAATTCAAGATGGCGGCACGCATCGCATCTCAGGAGACCACAGCCGCACTTGTCCATTGTGGGAGCTTAAGAAGCATTCTCTTTTTACCTTGTTACAATCAATAAATGACGATCGGAGTTGGACGTTCATCCTGGCTCCGAGGGTTTATTGAACGCAAGGTTATCTACTCGACTAGCGGTGCAACGCAGCACACAGCGAGGCCGAGATACACACGTACACACACGTACACAAGCCAAAAACAGAGACACTGACGCAAACAGGACGAGACACACACAGAGACAAAAGCACGGAGAAAGGCAAATAGTTGCAACCTTAAAAATCCACGATGCTTATGAGGCACGTGCGTGAATCCACAATGCCGCAAATTACTCCGGAACGCTTTGGTTAACCCACACTTCAATCTAGATTTGAAGCTTTCGTGACTGCAGGGATCCATACTCTTTGGTTCTTTTGGTAAAGTCACGTAGGTAGCAAAAAATACAATTAATAATTATTTTATTAAATAAAATTATTTTTTATTTTATTAAATACAAATGTATTTTATTATTATGAGAACCAAAGAGTAATCCGTACTTAGCAATGGTAGATCCGCTCAATATTATTGAGGCCTCATATATTTCCACTCGCCTATAGCCCGTCCGAGGACGGGCGTATCGCAGTTAATCAGAAATATTCAATCGAAAATAATGACCAGCTCATGGTTATTGATGAGGGGGTGGGGGCGGGGTCCACGTGAGTGACGTCATCAATAAGGGGGGGGGTCCACGTGACTGACATCACCAGCTCATGATTATTAATGAGGGGGCTGGTCGACGTGGAGTGACGTCACACGCGGGACACACAGACATTCTTGGCTCATGGTATTAGTGACGAGCTTCACTACCCCGGCTTCACCCGGGACTTAATTCACCACGCCCGGCCGCGTTTGTCTCCCCAGTGGTGACGTTCACGCACCACACCAGTTAATTGTTTGAGGCTGAGTGGACCTAGGGAAGGCCCAGGACCGGTTCAAATAATCGTCAACGGTGGTGGCCGTGTGGTGTACAGTCTGGAAAGTACCCACGTGGCAATTTTCCAGTGTGTTGCATGTCGGGAAGTACGCTGAACATTTTGAACAGACACACACATACACACAACTTTGCCTTTGATAATTGTTTTTTACCCTTCTATCTGGCAACAAAACTGACACCTTTTTACAAGGAGTCATGTTTGCATAGACTGCAATACCTGCAGTCATAATACAAACAAAACACACAACTCTGATAATGTATGCACTGTCCTTGAAGTTGATTGGTCCACACCTGAGACAGCTTTCCTTAGTCTCACATGGTGTTGGACCAGATGACGCCAAAAGGCGCACAACTCAAAGACAACGCACCATCAGAGTATGAGAGCTCGCGACTCACCCCCCCTCACCTCTCCTCCTCCTCCTCGTCGCCCTCATCGCCCACGGCGTCGTCGATGGCGTCGTTCATCACCTCCTCCTTCACGTCCGTGATCTCCGACTGCTCCTCAAACTCCATCATGATCTTGTGGACCTGCGGCAGCGTGAGCTGGGCGGGGTGCGACACGCGCGCCGGCGGAGACGAGTCATCGGTCGTGTATAGTAGTGTAGTGTATAGTGTAGTGTATAGTGTAGTGTATAGTGTAGTGTATAGTAGTGTAGTGTATAGTGTAGTGTATAGTGTAGTGTATAGCGTAGTGTATAGTAGTGTATAGTGTAGTGTATAGTGTAGTGTATAGTGTAGTGTATAGTAGTGTAGTGTATAGTAGTGTAGTGTATAGTAGTGTAGTGTATAGTGTAGTGTATAGTGTAGTGTAGTAGTGTAGTGTATAGTGTATAGTGTAGTGTATAGTAGTGTAGTGTATAGTAGTGTATAGTAGTGTAGTGTATAGTGTAGTGTAGTGTATAGTAGTGTAGTGTATAGTGTAGTGTATAGTAGTGTAGTGTATAGTGTAGTGTAGTGCCTCCATAGAGCCCAGTGTGTTCACTTACCGACCATTCCCCTGTTAACGACGGGCTGTTGTCGATGGAGTAAATATTAATTAATGCATCGATTAACCCCGTTTCTTTTAACACGATGTGTTTATAATGTTGTTAGTATCTTTATGAATTAATATGTTCATTGTTTAAATGTTATAAAGAACTTCTTTTGAAGGGTAACTTTCGATGCCATCGGAACGAATTAAGCCTTTTCGCTTAACCACCAGTTTCACGGAACCAATCACCAACGTGAAGAAGAGGGATTCCACTGTAACAATTGTAACCCAAGTGCAATCATCGCCCTCGACCCGTGTTGTTGATTTGTTTATTGAGTTTGTGAGCCAGGCTCAGCCAGGACCCCGCTCCACCACAATTCACCCAGGCTACCAGCGAGCACGAAGACTTAGACAAGTCTCGACCCGTAGCCAGAACAACAAATGTCAAACATAAATAACCATCTTCTTGGTTCTTTCGGTAAAGTCATCACGTAGAATGGAAATAATAAAATAATAAAAATATAACATAATTAAATACAATTTACACGACGTTTCGGCCACAACGCAAGCAGCTGTCCTCAGGTGAAGACCAGGTCTGTCAGAAAGACAGTGTCTAAATGAAACACCACCAGCTTGGCAGCGTATATTTAAGCTGCTGGGTTGGAGGGGGAAGAGCGCCTTGACAAAGGAATTTGCATATCAAGAGGAATTTAGCATATTTAAGATACAATGTTGAAGAATGGCAGTCGAAGAAGCGTCGATGACATTTTTTTAAGTTTTGAAATCCCATCGACGATACTCGTGCCATTTTTGATTTGCTCCTGTTTGTGTAACGTATCGCTGACCAAATTCTTTTCCGGAAGTACATTTTCAGAGCCAACGAAACGCCCGGAAAATCGCGGTGGTGTTGACGGTGGTCACCCATTAAATTACCAACCAGGCCCAAAAACCCTGCTTAGCTTCCAGACAGCCAATGAGGTGCGGGCGCATGCCGCAGTGATTTGCTCGCAGGCGTAGAGTCGGCATTTCTTCTTCAACGCATTTATTGTTTCTGCTTCCATTGTCCACACTTTGAGTTGTTCCGTGTTACTTTGGTGACCCGGGTGATCACACGCGCAAAATTCTCGTCTCTGGAGTTGGTAAGACAAAGGCGATTAAGCGCGATTCTAGCGCTCGCGAAGCTCCGTGCGTGTGCGTGCGAGGCAGCGGGGCCCAGCACACCTACCTGCTGGTTCATGGCGGCCATGGCCCTGGTGACGCCCTTCATGGCCTGGGCCATCGCGCCGTTGGACTTGAGCGTGTGCATCTTGAAGGACACGGCCTGGATGTTGGCTCGCATCACCATGAACTTCTTGGGACACGTGTGCAGGGTGAGGGTGGGACACGTGTGCAGGGTGATGGGTGGGACACGTGTGCAGGGTGATGGGTGGGACACGTGTGCAGGGTGATGGGTGGGACACGTGTGCAGGGTGATGGGTGGGACACGTGTGCAGGGTGATGGGTGGGACACGTGTGCAGGGTGATGGGTGGGACACGTGTGCAGGGTGATGGGTGGGACACGTTGCAGGGTGGAGGAGGAGGCGGGTAAGGGTCGGCAACTTTGAGTTTGGGAATGGAATGTGCCCATCTCCATGTGACAGACACACTCTCTCTCTCTGTACGTGCCTCTTTCCCCATATCTCTCTGTGTCTCTATTTTTGTCTCAGCTCTGTCTCTCTGTCGTGTGTCTTGTGCCCTTCGTGTGTGGATCTTTCTGTTTTTGTGTTTGTCTCTCCGTGGCTTGGTCTCGTGTCCTACTTTCTTCGTGTGTGGATCTCTCTCTCTCGCTGTTTCTGTGTGTCTCGTTATTCCTACCTGTGTCTTTCGCCTCTCTCCGTCTCTGTCGCCCGTGTCCATCTCCCTTGTCGCGTTTCTTATCGCTCTGTTGACCCCATCGCCCTGAGCCCACCGCCCTGACCCTCGCCCGCGGCAGGACGCCGTCAAGATCATGGCCAAGGACCTGGTGCGCACGCGTCGCCACAT